CCATGGAATACCATGGGAAACCCCCTCCCTTTTCCCTTGGGATCCATGGAATACCATGGGAAACCCTCCCTTTTCCCTTGGGATCCATGGAATCCCATGGGAACCCCCCGATACCTTGGTTCCGTGCGGATGGGACGATGCTGATGGCGCTGATCCAATCGGGAGCGATCCTGGATAACAGGGAATAGAGCACCTCCAGGCTGGCGGCATCCAGGACGAGGATCTCGGGATACTGGCCGTGGCAAAGCAGCCGGGATCCCATGGCGCTCTGGTAGAACTGGTGGAGCAGCGGTATTGCAGTGGGGATAATGGGATTCCCCGTTATCCCAATGGGATGGTTCCCGGCTCACCTGGATGCCTGTGTGGGTGCAGGCCAGCTTGGTGGACTCGAGGCAGCGCCCGTCGGTGACATCCCATAAACACAGCTCTCTAGGGGGAAAGGGGAACAGTGGGAACGGCAGCGCGGCTGCTGCGCCTCATTGGGGAACACTGATGGGGGGGGATGGGGGCTTGGGAACGCATCCCAAATCCCAATCCCTTCCCAATCCCAACCCCTTCCCAATCCCTTCCCATCCCCGATCCCATCCCATCCCCAATCCCTTCCCATCCCCGATCCCATCCCATCCCCAATCCCTTCCCATCCCCGATCCCATCCCATCCCCAATCCCTTCCCATCCCCAATCCCATCCCCAATCCCATCCCATCCCCAATCCCTTCCCATCCCCAATCCCTTCCCATCCCCGATCCCATCCCATCCCCAATCCCTTCCCATCCCCAATCCCATCCCCAATCCCATCCCATCCCCAATCCCTTCCCATCCCCAATCCCTTCCCATCCCCGATCCCTTCCCATCCCCGATCCCCCATCCCCGATCCCTTCCCATCCCCAATCCCATCCCCAACCCCTTCCCATCCCCAATCCCATCCCACCCCCTTTTCCAACAGGATACCAACAATACCAACACCCCCCTGTGTTTTCCCATGGGATGTTCCCACTGCGGTCCCCATTCCCGAGGCCGGGATGCGGGGCTGATCCCATAGGAACTCACCCGCTCTCCGAGGCGCTCACCACGTGGGGCTGCTGCCCGGCCCCCGAGCCCTTGGCCAGGCAGGTGATGGAGCCCGAGTGGCCAAAGAGCAGGGCCCGAGGCTTCAGCTGGGGGGACAGGGCCCGAATGCACCTGATCCCATAGGATACGCATCCAAATCCCATGGGATACACATCCCAATATCCATGGGATATACGTCCCGACCCCATGGGATACACGTCCCGACCCCATGGGATACACGTCCCGACCCCATGGGATACACGTCCCGACCCCATGGGATACACGTCCCGACCCCATGGGATACACGTCCCGACCCCATGGGATACACATCCCGATCCCATGGGATACACATCCCGATCCTATGGGATCCGCATCCCAATCCCATAGGATACGCATCCCGACCCCATGGGACACACATCCCCGTCCCATGGGATACATATCCCGATCCCATGGGATACACATTCAAATCCAATGGGATACACGTCCCGACCCCATGGGATACACATCCCCATCCCATGGGATACACATCCCGACCCCATGGGATACACATCCCAATATCCATGGGATACACATCCCGATCCCATGGGATACACATCCCAATATCCATGGGATACACATCCCCATCCCATGGGATACACGTCCCCATCCCATGGGATACGCATCCCGACCCCATGGGATACGCATCCCGACCCCATGGGATACGCATCCCAATCCCATAGGATATGCATCCCAATCCCATAGGATACACATCCCAATCCCATTGGATACGCATCCCAATCCCATAGGATACACATCCCAATCCCATTGGATACGCATCCCAATCCCATTGGATACGCATCCCAATCCCATGGGATATGCATCCCAATCCCATGGGATACACATCCCAAATCCCATGGGATACGCATCCCGACCCCATGGGATACATGTCCCCATCCCATGGGATACACATCCCAATCCCATGGGATACGCATCCCCATCCCATAGGATCCGCATCCCCATCCCATAGGATACGCATCCCCATCCCATTGGATCCGCATCCCACCCATCCAGCATGGAAAACCCCCCGTGTATAACATAAGCAACACCACAAGCCCCTATCCACAGCCCTATTATGGGATGGATCCCCTCCTTTGCACAGCATCCCTTCTACCCCCGCAGCCACTAACCCTATCGGAAGGCAACGGCTCCCCATCCCTTTCCCTGCTTAAACCCATTGGGATTCGGGATAAGGCACCCCTTTATCCACCCCACAACCAGGATTGGGCCCTGCCATCCATTCCCTTTATGGGATAAGGATGCTTTCACTATGGGGGGGAGCCATCCCATAGCGGCATTCCTTAGGATATTGGGAACACCCATAGCATCACATGGAAAACGGGAACAATGGCAAAGGGGTTGGAAGGTGACGATGTTATGGTGTTTCCCAACCCTATTATAGGATTCTATGGGCTCCATGCCCAAAGGAGCGGCGCATAGGGGAGAACAGCGGGGTTCCCCCTTTACCTGCAGGTCCGGAGCCAGGTCCCAAAGGCAGAGCTGCCCGTCCTGGCAGCCCGTCACCACCACGGGCACCTCATCCATGAGGAGCAAGGAGGACACGCAGTGAGTGGGGGCCCGGCGGCCCCATAGCACAATGGGCAGGACCAGGCTGTTCCCGGCCATGGGGCTGTGGTACCTAAGGGGAAAGCAGGGATCCATAGGGATAACGGTGTTCCTCATGGTGGGAATGAGCCCATTGGAGCGGTTTCATCAGCGTTTGGGGGGGATTCCTGCCCTTTTTCCATGTGGGAATAGCATGGAGGCAAAGGGAAATAGTGGGATGCGCTGCACGTTGGGGCATGGGAAATGGGAGAAGAGCAGGAATAAACCCGGAATACATTACAATAAATAGGGGAAAAGCATCCTCGCTTGGGATTCCAGCCCTCTGGAACGCCACCGGCCCCCATTCACTGCTGAAACGGGGTCTTAAACACTGAATATCAATGGAAACATAAAGACACGGGGCTGCTGCAAAGCGTTCCCAACGCAGCTCCCACGGCATTCCCAATGGGAATAGGAAACAGTTAATACATAAACCCTTCTTCCCCCTTTAGGGGTTAAACCAAGCCCCCCCCATTGCCCTTAAGGGTTAAACCGAGCCCTTCCTTTCCCTTTCCATCTGCATCACCCCTGCTTAGCACCAAACCCCCCCCCGCCGCCATTAGAAGCCGTTTAATCCCTACCAAGGCTTATCCCTTCCGTTACCGGAGCACGCAACCGAGCCTGCCTGCGGCCTACACCCCCGAACCGGACCCAACCCCGCTGTATAACGGGGGGTATCCGGTAGCACGGTGTTAGAAACCCGTCCCCCCCCACAACACGGCCCCGTTCAATGGGGCCTGAGGAGGAACCGGGCCCCGTTACCGCTGGCTCCCGCTCCCGGCGCCGCTGACAGGGCCGCAAAGCGCCGCCGGCTGTCGTGATGCGGGCGCCGCTGTCGTAAAACCCGCCCGGCCCCCGCCGTGTTCACTGACGGCAGGAGGCGTCGCCATAGCGACCGTGCGGCGGGGCTGAGGTGATGGCGGGGTTCAATGGCTTCCCTGCCTCTGCCTCAGCCACGGCCCTCCGTGGGCCGCAATGAGGAGCGGCGGGGACCCGGAGGGCTCCGGTACCGGCGGCACGGCGGTTACCCGTGGGTTGCAGCGCATTCTTCCCCTTCCCAGCCGTTTAATGGCGGTAAGGCATTGGGAAGGAGGTGGATTTGACCCAGGGTTAACCGAAGGGGAGCAGCTTTACCTCAGCGGCTGTCGGCGGCCTCCGTCCCCGTTGCCTTGCGCATCCCCTCAGCGACGGCGCCTCCTCCGCTTCCACCCGTCACTCGTGGGTCGTAAACCCCGCGGTTACAGCCCTCATCCTGTCCCAAAGCTGGAATCGGCTCCTCCCGATCCCATAGGATCAACGCCGCCCGCCCCAACGCCCCGCCTTCCCCTCAGCCCGCCTCAGCCCGCCTCAGCCCAACATGGCGGCCGCGCCACACCCCCTAAAATGGCCGCCGGCTCCCTCTGCCCTCGCTCAAAATGGCGGCCGCTCCCTGCATACCCCGTGCTTACCCTTACCTAAAATGGCCGCCGCCTCCCTTTGCCCTCACCCAAAATGGCGGTCGCGCCACACCGCCCCTCCTTTTACCCTCACCTAAAAAGGCCGCCGGTTCCTTTTCCCCTTACCCAAAACAGGGACCGCGCCACACCACCTCCCTTGCCCTTACCTCAGAAGGCCGCCTGTTCCTTTTCCCCTTGCCCAAGATGGGGACCGCCCCACACCAACCCCTTTGCCCTTACCTAAAATGGCCGCCGCTCCCTTCGCCCTCAGCCGAAATGGCGGCCGAACCTCACTCCCCTCCTTTGCCCTTACCTAAAATGTCCGCCGCTTCCCTTTGCCCTCACCCAAAAAGGGGGGCGTGCCACCGCCCCCCCCTTTTCCCTCACATAAATGTTCACCGCCTCCCTTTGCCCTCACCCAAAATAGCGGCCGCGCCACCTCCCCCTTTTCCCTTACCTAAAATGTCCGCCGCTTCCCTTTGCCCTCACCCAAAATGGCGGGCGTGACACCGCCTCCCCCCTTTTCCCTTACATAAATGTTCACCGCCTCCTTTTGCCCTCACCCAAAATGGCGGCCGCGCCACCTCCCCCTTTTCCCTTACCTAAAATGTCCGCCGCTCCCTTTGCCCTCACCCAAAATGGCGGCCGTGCCTCCTCCCCCTTTTCCCTTATCTAAAATGTCCGCCGCTCCCTTTGCCCTCACCCAAAATGGCGGCCGCGCTGTCAGCGACGCATGCGTCGCGCGGTGCACGCCGGACGCCGCTTCCGGCCGTGACGCTGCAGATCGCGCCGGGTCCCTCCTCCGCCGGTGCCGCTGCCGGTGCCGGTGCCGCTTCCTCCTCCTCCTCTTCCTCCTCCTTCCTCCTCGTCCCGGCGCCATGGGGGGGGTGAAGGTGATCGCGAACGACGCCGAGTTCCAGCCGGAGCTGGGCGCCGCCGGCTCCCGCTTGGCCGTGGTCAAGTTCACCATGCGCGGGTGAGCGGGCCCGGAGCAGGCCCGGCGCAGGCCTTTGCGGCCTAGGGAAGCGTTCGCTTCCCGACGCGATCCCATGGGATTGGGGCTGTTCCCGCTTCCCTTGGGATGCGCATCCCTATGGATCCCTCTGCTGTATCCGCAGCTGCGGGCCTTGCTTGAGGATAGCGCCGGCCTTCAGCTCCCTGAGCACCAAGTACCCGCAGGCCGCCTTCCTGGAGGTGGACGTGCACCAGTGCCAGGTGGGAATTGCGCTTGGGAAAGGGTGGGAAGAGACCCCCATTCCATAGGGATTCAATGGGGGAAACGCTTGGGGGTGTGGGGGGGGGTGGAGGTGAGTGGGAATTCTGCTTGGGAAAGGGTGGGAAGAGACCCCATTCCATAAGGATTCAATGGGGGTTAATGGGAATTCTGCTTGGGAAGAGACCCCATTCTATAAGGATTCAGTGGGGGTGATGGAGGTGAATGGGAATTCCGCTTGGGAATACACCCGAATCCATAAGGATTCAATGGGGTTGATGGAGGTGAGTGGGAATTCTGCTTGGGAAGAGACCCCATTCCATAAGGACTCAATGGGGGTTAATGGGAATTCCGCTTGGGAGGACACCCCATTCCATAAGGACTCAATGGGGGTTAGTGGGAATTCCGCTTGGGAAGAGACCCCATTCCATAAGGATTCAATGGGGGTTAATGGGAATTCCGCTTGGGAAGAGAGCCCATTCCATAAGGACTCAATGGGCCTCAATGGGCCTCAATGGGCCTCAATGGGCCTCCATGGGCCTCAATGGGCCTCCATGGGCCTCAATGGGACTCAATGGGCCTCAATGGGACTCAATGGGCCTCAATGGGCCTCCATGGGCCTCAATGGGCCTCCATGGGCCTCAATGGGCCTCAATGGGCCTCAATGGGATTCAATGGGACTGAATGGGCCTCAATGGGCCTCCATGAGCCTCCATGGGACTGAATGGGCCTCCATGGGACTGAATGTGCCTTCCCGCCTTGGGGACCGGCGTCTTGGCAGGGCACGGCGGCCGCCAACGGCATCGCGGCGACGCCGACGTTCCTGTTCTTCCGGAACAAAGTGCGCCTGGAGCAGTACCAGGGCGCCGACCCCCTGGGGCTGGAGGAGAAGATCAGGCAGCTCCTGGAGAACGAGCCCGGGCCCGGCGACGCCGCCGACATCCCCAAGGGATACGTATGGAATCCCTGGGGGGGGGGAACCCGATGGGGTGCTCTGCAGCTCTGCCTCTGCTGTGGGGGGAGCGTTCCTTATGGGATAGAGGGATCATTCCCTTTGGGATATAGGGATCATTGCCTATCGGATAGACAGATCGTTTCCTATGGGATGGAGGGAGCGTTCCCCATGGGATATAGGGAGCATTCCCTATAGGATGCAGGGATCATTTCCTATAGGATGCAGGGATCATTCCCTATGCAATGAATGGATCATTCCCTATGGGATAGAGGGATCATTCCCTTTGAGATATAGGGATCATTCCTTATGGGATATAGGGATCATCCCCTATGGGATGCAGGGATCACCCCCATCCCCCCCAACCAGCACCCCCACCCTTACCCCCCTCCCCCATTCCCCATAGCCCCCCATTGCCCCCCATTCCCAGATGGATCTGCTGCCCTTTGTACCCCCCATTCCCCATAGCCCCCCATTCCCCATAGCCCCCCATTCCCCATAGCCCCCCATAGCCCCCCATAGCCCCCCATAGCCCCCCATAGCCCCCCATAGTCCCCATAGCGCCCCATAGCGCCCCATATGCCCCCCCCCCCATATCCCCCCATAGCCCCCCATTGCCCATAGCGCCCCATATCCCCCCATATCCCCCCATGGACCCCCTGAGGACCTGTCCCCTGCATGCCCTGTAGCCCCATAGCCCCATAGCCCCATAGCCCCATAGCCCCCATAGCCCCATACCCCCCATAGCCCCCCATATCCCCCCACCTGCCCCTAGCCCCCCATCCCATCCCCCACCCCATACCCCCCATAGCCCCCACAGTGCCCCATAGCGCCCCATAGCCCCCCATAGCCCCCCCATGCCCCCAGATGGACCTGCTGCCCTTCGTGAACCGGGCGGGCTGCGAGTGCCTCAACGAGAGCGACGAGCACGGCTTCGAGAACTGCCTGCGCCGGGACCAGGCCTACCTCGAGTCCGACTGCGACCAGCAGGTGGCGCAAGGGGGACGGAGCCAGAGCGGGGACAGGGGGGGAATGGGGACGGGTCCATAGGGGAAAGAATGGGAAGGGGCTGGGAATGGGGCTGGATTCCAGAGGGAAAAGAAGGGGTTGGGAATGGCACTGGTTTCTATAGCGGAAAGAATGGGAAGGGGCTGGGAATGGGGCTGGATTCCAGAGGGAAAAGAAGGGGTTGGGAATGGCACTGGTTTCTATAGCAGAAAGAATGGGAAGGGGCTGGGAATGGGGCTGGATTCCAGAGGGAAAAGAAGGGGTTGGGAATGGCACTGGTTTCTATAGCGGAAAGAATGGGAAGGGGCTGGGAATGGGGCTGGATTCCAGAGGGAAAAGAAGGGGTTGGGAATGGCACTGGTTTCTATAGCAGAAAGAATGGGAAGGGGCTGGGAATGGGGCTGGATTCCAGAGGGAAAAGAAGGGGTTGGGAATGGCACTGGTTTCTATAGCGGAAAGAATGGGAAGGGGCTGGGAATGGGGCTGGATTCCAGAGGGAAAAGAAGGGGTTGGGAATGGCACTGGTTTCTATAGCAGAAAGAATGGGAAGGGGCTGGGAATGGGGCTGGATTCCAGAGGGAAAAGAAGGGGTTGGGAATGGCACTGGTTTCTATAGCGGAAAGAATGGGAAGGGGCTGGGAATGGGGCTGGATTCCAGAGGGAAAACAATGGGAATGGGTTAGGAACGGTGTGTGCTTCTATAGGGAAAAGAAAGGGCTGGGAATGGTGCTGGTTTCTATAGGGAAACGAATGGGTTGGGAATGGCACTGGCTTCTATAGGGAAAAGAAGGGAAGGGGCTGGGAATGGTGCCGGTTTCCAGAGGGAAAAGAATGGGAATGGGTTGGCAATGGGGTCGGGATTTAGAGGGAAAAGAAGGGCTCGGGAATAGTACTGGTTTCTATAGGGAAAAGAAGGGAATGGGCTGGGAATGGTGCTGGCTTCCATAGGGAAAAGAAAGAGTTGGGAATGGTACTGGTTTCTATAGGGAAAAGAATGGGAAGGGGTTGGGAATGGTGGTGGGCTCCATAGGAAAAACAATGGGAATGGCTTGGGAATGGAGCTGGATTCTATAGGGAAAAGAATGGGAATGGGGTTGGGAATGGGGCTGGGTTCTGCAGGGAAAAGAATGGGAATGGGTTGGGAATGGGGCTGGGTTCCAGAGGGAAAAGAATGGGAATGGGTTGGGCATGGGGTTGGGATCCAGAGGGAAAAGAATGGGAATGGGTTGGGAATGGGGTTGAGATTCCAGAGGAAAAACAGTGGGAATGGGGTCGGGTTCCATAGGGGAAACAGTGGGAATGGGGCTGGGATCCATAGGGGAAACAGTGGGAATGGGGCTAGGTTTCATAGGGAGAACAGTGGGAATGGGTTGGGAATGGAGTTGGGATTCCATAGGGAAAACAGTGGGAATGGGGTGGGAATGGGGCTGGGATCCAGAGGGAAAACAATGGGAAGACAATGGGGCTGGATTCCAGAGGGAAAAGAATGGGAATGGGTTGGGAATAGGGTTGGGATCCAGAGGGAAAAGAAGGGGTTGGGAATGGCACTGGCTTCTATAGGGAGAACAGTGGGAATGGGTTGGGAATGGCGCCGGCTTCCATAGGGCAAAGAAGGGGCAGGGAATGGCAGCGGCCCCTATAGGGCTGGCACCCATCCCTATGGGGTTGCACCGTGTCCCGTCCCAGCTCCTGCTGACGGTGGCCTTCAGCCAGCCCGTCAGGCTGTACTCCATGAGGCTGCAGGGGCCCGACAACGGTGAGTGCCCACCCCATAGCCGGCAATGGGGCGCACCCACCCCATAGCCAGCAATGGGGCGCACCCACCCCATAGCCAGCAATGGGGCGCACCCATCGGTTCCATCATCCCCCCATAGCCAGCAATGGGGCGCACCCATCGGTTCCGCCATCCCCCCATAGCCAGCAATGGCCCCACCCCCCATAGCCAGCAATGGGGCGCACCCATCGGCTCCCTCATCCCCCCATAGCCAGCAATGGGGCGCACCCACCCCATAGCCAGCAATGGGGCGCACCCACCCCATAGCCAGCAATGGGGCGCACCCACCCCATAGCCAGCAAGGGGGCACA